ATGCTTCAGTGCTGCTCCCTGCATCCACTCTGTGTTCACCCTGCCCCGGCAGAGACAGAGCAGCTCCCCTTCCTGAGGGGCTGGCTCTTCTAGCAGGTACCCACCGCACCTGCAAAGGTGCCTGAGCCCCAAGGGGTTGTAGCTCTTGTCAGTTTACTGGCTCTGGGGGGGGTTCACTTAATACTCACTCCCTGCACCCTGAAACACTCATCTCCTGGGGTCTTCAGACTCGACTTGGATCTTTCCCCAGACAGGCCACACTCCATCTTTTCCCAAAATGGCTCTCGTCTAAGCAGCCTGTTGTTCTTCTTGACATTGCCCTCCATTCGCCCCTCACCACCAGAGTCCGTCAGAGCCCAGCAACTCTGTCCCTGCCTTCTGAGCTTCCTACTCTCACCTGTGTTTCCAGGCCCTGAGCCCAGCCACTCCTGAGGGCTCTGGGTACACAAATCTACGTTACTGCCTGTATCTTGAGAGATGAGGGTGAAGTTTTCGTAAAATAACCCAGAGCAATGCTAAGGAACAGCTCGGTACTTTTCTCACTGATCTTGGTGCAGACTCTCATTTGCTTTTCCTAGAGCTAGTTGCAGAGACAGAAGTGGGCAGCCCTTCCAGAGTAGAGTGTTCTCGGGGCCACCGCACCGCACAACTCTTGGGGCACAATGTATGTTTAGCTGTATGCATGGTGTCCCTTGGAGCTGAACAGGGCACAGCCTGGCCAGACATGTGTGGGTTGTTGTGAGGGGTGTCTCACAAGCTACCCAAAGGGAAGAGCAATAACTGTCCAAGCCTATAGACCTCTGCCTGCCTGTGTCAACCCCATCCTTCTTAATAGGAAACCAAGGCATTCTGGGGGCTCCCTGGTCCCCTAGAACAAACTCTGGGTCAGCTTTGCGTCTAAATGCTCATTGCTGTTCTGTCCTATCCCGGGGGTCAGTCTTTCCTGGAACTGCACTCACCCTCACCATACTGACAGTTGCCAAGCCCACCTTCCTATTTGAAGCCAGTTCCTCAATGAAAAGGGTTTGTTATTAACTGGTGGAGGTGGAGAGAGTGGCAGAGGAAGTAAAGAAAGAAATCTGGGCAGAAAATGCCAGAAGAGGGAGAAGGATAAGGAAGATAATATAGCAGCCCATACCCTCACTCTCCTTCCACACATTCATTTAACCTACGGTAATGCTGTGTGGGATCATCAACATGAGTCCTACTTTACAAATGAGAAAACCGAGGGCACTGAGGTGAAGTCACCTCCCAAACACACACAAGGAAGCGGCAGCCCCAGGCTGGGCATGAAGGGTGGGAGACCAGAGAAAGGTGGAGGCAGTGGTGGGTCTGGACTGAGCAGCCGCTCCCTGAGACGGTGCCCTCTCCTCTCCCCTCAGCTGACCAGCTTACCGTGGTGGGCAAGATTTCCTTCAACCCCAAAGACGTGCTGGGCCGTGGGGCAGGTGGGACGTTCGTTTTCCGGTGAGTAGGTAACCAGAAGCTGGGCCGGACATGTGACTCTCATGGCACTTTGGGCCAGTCCTTCGGGCAGGCCAGTCTTTCAAAGGCTCCCAGAGGCGGGTGCAGAAAGGAATCTTTTCCTTCGTCTTCCTTCTCTGAACGCCCCAGGGGCCAGCTGGAGGGGCGGGCAGTGGCTGTGAAGCGGCTGCTCCGGGAATGCTTCGGCCTGGTCCGGAGGGAGGTCCAGCTGCTGCAGGAATCGGACAGGCACCCCAATGTGCTCCGCTACTTCTGTACCGAGCGGGGACCCCAGTTCCACTACATTGCTCTAGAACTCTGCCAGGCCTCCTTGCAGGAGGTGAGCCAGAGCTTCAGGGGTGGTGGGGTGGTAGCGGGGGTCCCAGGTTGCACAGTGATGCTCTGTCCCCTCTTCAGTACGTGGAAAACCCAGAGCTGGAGCACTGGGGTCTGACGCCCTTGATGGCGCTGCAGCAGCTGATGTCCGGCCTGGCGCACCTGCATTCCCTACACATAGGTAGGCCCTGCCCCTGCCCCTGCCCCTGCTTCCACCCCACCCTCCAGCCCTGGCCCTGCCTTCCCCACAGCCCTGCTCAGCTCTGCTCTGCTCTTAGTGCACCGGGACCTGAAGCCGGCCAATGTCCTCATCGCCGGGCCTGATGGCCCTGGCGGCACAGGCAGGGTGGTGCTCTCGGACTTCGGCCTCTGCAAGAAGCTACCTGCGGGCCGCTGTAGCTTCAGCCTCCGCTCGGGCGTCCCCGGCACGGAAGGCTGGATGGCCCCCGAGCTCCTACAGCTCCTGCCCTCTGACAGTCCTGTGAGTCCTTCCCTGGCCCCGTGCCTCTCCTGCTGTGGCCAAGCCTCTTTCTTCATCTGTAAAGTGGCGTAGTTCATCCCTTCTTACCTAGAGCAGTGGCTCTCATCCAGGGACCATTTCACTGTCCAGGGGGCATTGGGCTCTGTCTAGAGACACTCTTAGTTGTCACACCTGGCAGGGGAACCGTCCTCTGGTGGGTAGCGGCCTGGGATGCTGCTGAACATCCTGCAGCACACAGGACAGTGCCCCACATTGTGTGGTAGGGAGGGGCGGTGTTGGAGCATCCGGCCCCAAAAGTCAAGAGTACGAGGGTTAAGGAATCCTGAGCTAGAAAAGGGTTTTCAATCTGCACTGTGCTGCAGAATCATTGGTAACCTTAAGAGAGTCAGAAGCCCAGGCCCCACATCCAGGGATTCTGACCAGACTAGCCTGGAGCAGGTGATTCTAATAGGTAGCCAGGGAAAACCACTGGTGTCCAGGGTTTGGGGAGCACCAGAGGAGCGAATATAGGTGAAGCCCAGAGAAGTGTCTGACCCCCAGAAACCCCAGGATTATGGATTTCTGAGTTGTCAGTGTGTGGGTGGAAGATGAAATCATGCACACAGATGAGAGCACAGGAAAGGTCAGTCTCTAGGCAAACCCACATCTAAATCAAGAGAAAGCAGGAAGTGGCCACCCAGAGATCCAAGGACTAAAGGATCTGATGTTATGAACTTGTACAGATTTTAATTAGTGGCCAATATTTTAACTTTTGGGAAATTCCACATAACAATCTTGATTTTGGATCCTTTGGAAAAATCACAGCTCTGCACGTGGGAGAGTCCCCTGGAGACCATAAAGTCTCACTGCCGCTTCATTCCCTCGCACCCGGCCAGCCTCCCTCGCTTCTGTTACCTGCTATGCTAGGCCTGGAGGAATGCAGCTTGCACACGCGCACTAGCAGCTCAGGAGGGCCAAGATTTTGGATGAAAACCGTGGGCCCTTTCCAGTGGTGCAGAAGGCGGGAGGTCTCAGGTCGAGGAGATGGTGCTCAGGAAGCATCCTTGAGTTCTAGTCTGAACCAAAGCCTTGGCTAACATAACAGCTTGTGGGAGAATTGAATCTGGCAGGCTTCCCGGAAGCAGGGACTGCCTCCTTATGTTGGTCTCTCTGGCCCCCAGACAAGGGCAGTGGACATCTTCTCTGCAGGCTGTGTGTTCTACTACGTGCTTTCTGGTGGCAGCCACCCTTTTGGAGAGAGTCTTTATCGCCAGGCCAACATCCTTGCAGGGACTCCCAGCCTGACTCACCTGGAGGAAGAGGCACATGGTGAGGGGGGATGGGGCCTGGCAGGGTCTGGAGGAAGCAGGGCATGGGGCTGGGTGGGCCTGAAGCCATCCCTCCGACTCTCCATTTGCCCCTACAGACAAGGTGGTTGCCAGGAACCTGGTGGAGGCCATGCTGAGCCCCCTGCCCCAGGCCCGCCCCTTGGCTCACCAGGTGCTAGCCCACCCCTTCTTCTGGAGCAGAGCCAAGCAGCTCCAGTTCTTCCAGGTCAGAGGGAAATCTTGGGGATGGCCCCAACTAAGTCAAGTTTGGGTTCTGAGTGATAAAGAGGAATCCAGAGTGGCTGGGAAAAGAGACTTGTCTGCCTGTTCCAGAAAGTCCAGCTCCTTCTGGGAACCAAGCTCGGGCCTAGGCACCTATACGTTGCCATGCCGGCCCTCCACGGTCTGCTCACGACCAGACTTCCCAGCCCCAGCCTCCTCACCCCTACTCACCCCCAACCCCCCATAACACATGCGCCATGCCATTCAACCCTAGTTGTCACTCATGCTACACTGGTGCCCAGATAGCCCATCCCACTTGTGTGAACTTGAGCAAGGGACTTGGTGCCTCTGAGCCTGCTTGCTCATCTGTAGAATGAGGACAAGTGTACCTACCTCACTGGTTGATGAAGACCTAGCAGGTAACATGGAGACAAGGCACCGGGAAGCTGTACTCGAGGGGCAACAATCCTTTCCTAAACCAAGAAGCTTTTGCCGTTTTGCTCCCACAAGCCATAGGGCACTCCTGGGCCTTGGCCTCTGAAACTGGTCATAAGGCTCAAGAGCTCTGTGGGATCCTAGGACGTCAGCGACTGGCTGGAGAAGGAGTCTGAGCGAGGGCCCCTGGTGGCAGCGCTAGAGGCGGGGGGCTCCGCGGTGGTCCGGGGCGACTGGCACAAGCACATCTCTGTGCCGCTGCAGACAGGTAGAGGCCGGCCTTGGGGTGGGGCTGCCAAATGGAGGGGAACCCAGTGGGGGCAGCCTTGCCAGAGTTTCCTGTCCACAGATCTGAGACGGTTCCGGACATATAAGGGGACGTCAGTGCGAGACCTGCTCCGTGCTCTGAGGAACAAGGTGTGCTCTAGGGTCTGCGTGGGGCCTGGGTCACAGGGCATCCTGGTCATGGCTAAGCAGGGCCCTCTCGCCCTTCCTCCAGAAGCACCACTACAGGGAGCTCCCGGTGGAGGTCCGGCAGGCACTCGGCCATGTCCCCGACAGCTTCGTCCAGTACTTCACGGCCCGCTTCCCACGGCTGCTGCTCCACACGTACGGCGCCATGAGGAGCTGTGCCTCCGAGAGCCTCTTCCTGCCCTACTACCCACCGGCCTCAAGGCCCGGGAAATCATGCCCAGCCGGGAGCTGAGGCCGCCAGACCAGGAGTGGGGCCCATGGCTGAGGCCAGCCTCGGTGGCAAAAAAAACTGGCAGAGTCTTGGCAGCCCGGGGCTTCTGGAGCAAAGACGTGTCCAGAGCCCAGAAGCCAGGTACTCTCAGGGATTACAGAAGAAATAGAAGATTCACATGTGTTTAATGTATATAAAGGCAAGGAAAGGACAGTCCCAGATTCAAGAGCAGTATTCTGTACAATGCATATGGTGGGGCTGAGGGGCAAGGGGAAGAGGCCATAGAACCCATACCCAAACATGTACAAAAATAACTTACACGACGACCCCCACCAGCAAGGATGATGGAGCTCTCCCCAGCCCCCAGGGCTGGGGGGCATATTCTAGAAAACGGCACGAGGGGAGCTAACCAGTGCAAGCCAAGGTGCTGTGGGGGAAAGAAGGGGTGCCAGTCCGGAGGGGAGGAAGGCCTATGAGGAGGCCTTGAGACGGCTGGCGGCCGAGCGGGAGCTCAGCAGTTTGTCCACCATGGTGCGGGCATAGCGGAGCCGGCTGGCCAGCTCCTTGGAGCAGCCGTATTCCTCCAGCAGGCTCAGGCGGTACGTGCGGAAGTCCCGCCTCTCGTCGATGTAGGTCACAGCTGCCATCAGTGGGCACAGGATGAGTTTGGTATGGTCCTAGGAGGGGAGACAGAGAGTTACGAGTGGCCTGAAGGTCCCAGCTGCTAGTACAGGCCAGGAAGTAGAGGGGAGACATTCCAACTGACGAGGGGTTCCCGCCCCCACTCCTGTTCTTCCTATTGCCTGATGCCAAGCACAGGTCCCACACCTCCCACTCCCCACCCTACTCTGGGGGCCTGTGGACAGGTACAGGTACCTCACCCCGACCTCCCCACCCTGCTTCACCTGGAAGAAGTTGATCTGCACACAGCCATTGCTGAGGTGAAGGATGATGGCGCTGCGGGTGCGAAACCAGGTGCGCAGGTAGGGTAGCCGGGCGAGCTCATCGCCTTCCCGGGGCGTGATGTTGGCCCCCGCCTTCAGCAAGTGTTCACTCATGTAGTTCCGGAAATACTTCAGGAGGGTGATCTGGTTGGAAAAGGAGGGAGGGAGGCCAGAGTTAGAGCCTAACTGCCCTGCACGTGCCTCCCTCTCGGCAGCCCCAGACCACGCGGCCACCAGCCACCGGCTGGTGCTCACCTTCTTCATCAGGGAGTTGGGGTGGGAGCTCACGGTGAGGTAGGACTCGGTGCCATCACGCTCTATGTACTGCAGGCTGTCACCGTCATTGTAGAGGATCAGGCGCGTCGAGTCATTGAAGAGCACCCCCACACTGTTGTCACATAGCTGGTACCCTGGTGGGTGGAGGGAGACCTCAGGAAGGGGGAGAAGGGAGCAGGGCAGGGCACTAGTGAGAGGCCTGGGATGGAGACAGGAGACTGTTGACAGCAGAGGATCAAGGAGCCAAAAAAGGCAAGAACCTGGAACAGCTCAAAGGGGCACCTGGCTATACCCGAGCCACCGCCCATTCTGGAAGCAACCTACCGAGGCCGTACTTGTCCGAATAGTCCACCCACTTGCTGACCCAGAAGATGGGGATGCAGGCAGGATCCTCAGCCTCCTCTGTGACAGAAACAGACAGATGGTTGGTCAGCACCCACATCTTCCCCTCCATTCCACTCATGTGGCCCATGCCAGGGAGGATTGCTGGGCACCCCACCCAGGCTCTTTCAAGAGTCCTGGGGCCCCAGAGAAAAGCCAAGCAGGGCCTGTGCCACCACCAAGCCCTGGCAAGCAGCGGGACAGAAAAGTTCCAGTTCCATTCATTCATTCATTCCGTCCATCCATGCATCAGAGGCCACCCTGTGCCAGGCACTGTCACAGATGCAATGAGCAATGGCATAAAACCCAGCCTTCAAGGAACTTACATTCTCGTTATAGGGACAGAGGCTGATCAACATAAATATGGACAAAATAAATGTTATTTCTATCATGACGAGAGTCAGTGGCTAATGGATTATCTAATTTTTTGGTTCTGAGTTATTAAGAAATTATCGGAATATATACAATTCCAAATACATCAAAATGTTATGTTCGGGGAGCCTGCGTGGCTGTTCGTTATGTGTCTGACTTCGGCTCAGGTCATGATCTCAGGTTCACGGGATCAAGCCCTGGGTAGGGCTCAGTGGGGAGCCTGCTTCTCCCTCTCCCCCTGCTTGTGCTCTCTCTCAAATAAATAAAATCTTTAAAAAAAAAAACTGTCATGTTTAGTGCATGTGATAATCCCTTATTTAAATACAGGGGAGTAAGAAGTGCTCAGAGTTGGGGGCCAGGGAAATGCTCATGGAAGGGACACTGGGGCAGATATCTGAAGGAGGCGAGTATGAGCCTTGCATATATGTGGAGGAAGTACATTCCAGAAGAAGGGAACAGTATGAGCAAGAGCCCTAAGTCTCTTGAAGACTAAGCAGGAATCCCCTGGACAGCTGAAGGAGCATATGCAGATGTATAAGGTACCACATGGAGGTGCTGGAAGATGGGGCACTTGCAGAGGTAGAACACATGAATCAGAAAAAGATAGGCGGGTCCTTGAGTGTCAGGCTAACCCATTTGGATTTTAATCTATAGAAAAGCAGGGAACTAACAGTATTATGGAGACGGGGCCTGGACAAGCCTCAGACACTCTGCGGCGGCGACTTCCCCACCCTCTCCAAGTGCACAGGCAACCCCATCCCCAGGCCCCTACCATGCCCACCTTGCCTCACCAGCCCCCGCTCTGAGGGCTTGGATGCATTGACGCTGTGTAGCTGCTGTAGCATATCGCCCAGGTGGCAGTCAACCACCTCATTGGTCTCCCGGACCCCTGGCTCCTCTTTTTCCCGGGGCCGCTCAGGCATGGGGTTCTCCGTGCCTGTGAAGAAGATGATGCATAGTCATTAGCTGGGCACAAAGGCAGCAGGTGGGAGGGGAATGGGACCCTCTGCCTAGCTGGTACTCTCCCCAGAGAAAAATTATTTTTGCTGCCATTGCTTTGGGTCAACGGAGTCAGTGCTGGGTTACAGAGCAGCAGCGGCCACACTCATGTGACAGGAGCATGGGACGCATACCTCTAGGGCCAAGCCAAGCCCTTAAGGAAGGTTTCATGGTCACACACACCAAAGAGCTTCAGATGCTCTGGCCTCTGCCCCCATACTGGGCCCTCCAGGACACCACCAGTCACTCTGGGAGACGGTGTGAAGGCACCACCAGCTCGGAGCTGCCCAGCCAAAAATTAAAACCCAGGAAAACAGGAGGGCTTGGTTAATCGTATACAGCTCATCAACAAAATGGATTAAGCAGGCATTTGTTGAAAACATGAGATTTTTTTTCCACCCCCAAGTTTTATACAAACGTCCAAAGAGTCTGAAAAGATACTTTCAGATTTTCTCATTGGTTATATTTGGGTTAGAAAAGCACGGATGATTTTTTTATTGTCTTTATGCTCTAATGTTTCTTTCCCCACCAACACATGTTAGTTCTCCTTGTAGAATACGGAATTTGTCTTATAATATTTTTAAGATCAGAGTTTTCAATTTAAAAATACTATGCTGTGGTAAGAACTGAAATGTGAAATAATATATTTGGGACTTGCTTTAAAAACCCTAGCAAAGGAGGGTGCCTTTGGCTCAGGTGTTGATCTCAGGGTCCTGGGATGGAGCCCCGCATCGAGCTCTCTGCTCAGCAGGGTAGTCTGCGTCCCCTCTTCTCTCTGCCTGCCTCTCTGCCTACTTGTGATCTCTGTCTGTCAAATAAATAAATAAATAAATAAAAATCTTAAAAAATAAAATAACAATATTTTATACATTATAGGCCAAAGAATAAATCCATGAGTACATGTTGATACAATTAACGGAATAAATACTTGAGAGAGAAGCGACAGCTCTTCCTTAGAGAAGAATTCTGATAAATTAACTTAGAAGGAGTGGGGAAGAGAGAGGAATCTCCACTAGAATAACACATTAGCAACTGCCTTAATGAGATCCAAGGGGATCCACTGAGATCCACCAAGGATATGAGTTTGAGGAGAAACAAGATTATCTCAAAGTAGCTCAAGCAAAGGTATCTGATTAGTTACGAAGGGAAAAATTGGAACTCTGAATCAGACCCCACTCTAACCAACTGCTCAAGATTAAAATTACCAATAAAAAGAAATGGCAAAAATAAACAAAAAAGGAATCCTTAACGGTTTAATTACCAAAACAAAACAAAACAAAAAAAACCCACCCAAAACCAAAACAGTATTAGATTACAATAGAAACAAATGAATTTATATGTTAAATTGGTGCTATATCCACACAGAGGAAAAAAAGTATTTCAAATAACCTTTATAAAAGCACTAAATACCCTTAGTGAAATATTCTAAAGACAAATGGACTTGAACAAGCTAAAACATCACTTGAAAAGAAAAACAGTAAGAGGAACTAGTTTATAGATGTTGAAAAATATATGCATGTTAGTATAAGGAAACAAGATTGTCAGTTGAAATACAAGAATAAAATCAAAGAAATAAAAATCTTAATATTGTATTTGAACTGGACACTCATAAATTACAAAAAGTAGTAACTCCACAATAGACAAAACAATATTGTACCAGTGTTAAGTTTCTTGAACTTGCTGTGTCATGTGCTACAGTTATGTGAAAGAATCTTTGTTTTTAGAAAAAATACACTGAAGTATTAAGTGGTCAAGGGCAGGACATATACAACTTACTTTTAAGTGGTTAGGGAAAAAAACTGGGTGTATATACACACACATGCACATACACACTTACATAATTTATATATATACTAAAGAGAAAAAGGTAAAGTTTAGAAAGATATTAATTGGTGGAGAAAAGGGAGCTTTTGTCTATTCTTCCACCTTTACATAATCTGACTGTTGAATGTGGTGGGGAGATCCACTGCATTATGCCCTACATACATACTTGAAATTTTCCATATTTATTTTCAATGAGCCATCATTGTGTGATGTTAGGAATTTTTTAAATGCTAAGAGTTTTTCAGGTGTGGCATTCAGTCCACTTGCCTTTTTCTAGGTGACAGGTCTGATCCAGCCATGGTTAAAGTCTGTCTTTCCCCACTAGGGCCCACCCAGGGGCAGGGCAGTTTGCCCTGAGTGGGGTGGGGGCTGTGGATTCAAGGACAGGGGCGGGTCCTACACACGCCTGGGCTCTGGGAGCCACCTATCCACACAGCTAGAGCCTAGGCTCTCTCTGGGGGCCTACTGTTTTACCTTTATTGAGGACTGTGAGAGGTTTCCGGCTGTTGGGGTCCAGACTGCTGGGAGCGATGGAAAACCGGGGTGCAATTGTGAGACAGGTGATGGGGAGCCGGGCAGGGATGTAGCCGGAAGTAAAGAACTCGTCATTGAGCAGCTCATGAATGGTGGGGCGGGCAGTAGGATCTGTCTGAAGCATCTTCTGGATGAGGGAGGCGGCCACAGGGTTGACATGCTGGAGCAGAGAGGGAGCGCCGTGAGTGGGACATAATGGGGAACCCGAGTGCAATGCTGTCATAGGCACTGCAGCCCCTGGCTCACATACACCATGTGAGCTATGTTTCCCAAACTGGCTTTACTGAGTTGACACATGTCAATCTAAGCTGTGAGAATGATCACTTCTCTTTTTTTGAGCCTCAAGAGTCATCGGATTTCCCTTCAATTTATTCCAGAGCAACTTAACTTGTTCACCACTAAGGTAGCACTTGAGAACATAGGTTGTGGGGTCTTAAAGACTTGATTAGCTCCCAGTACTCTCCCTAGTACTGTCCCTGATAGCAGCTATGGCAAGTAACCCGACGTGCTTAGGACTTTGTGTCTTCATCTGGAAAGTAAGGACATAGCAATGAGCCTAGAATCCTACTAGGATTCGATGGGGTTTAACCCAGCACAGGTCAAAAGCATAGTAACAGCTTAGCATTAGCTGTACACTTACTATGTGCCAGGACAGTGTTCCAAGCTGTCATGTGTATTAATTTGCTTACCCTTCACAAAAACACCTAAAGGGGCAGAGGTCTCTATTACTATCTCTCTTTTGCAGAGAAGGAAATGGAGCACAGAGAGGTTAAATGCCTTTCTAAGAATATGTATTTAAAGTGGTGAAGTCGGCACCCACTCCAAACCCTCAAGGGTCTGTCCATCTGAGAGTTAAATGACGCTTTGTGAGAGATTTTGTCTGTCCTTATGCAGACAGGGCCCTTGACTTCAAGGCTACCACACCGGAAAGCAGCCACTTGTCAGGCTTCTGCACAAACAGGCTATTCCTTTCAATGCACTGACGCCAGTGGTTGTGAAAATGCACATCACTTTGGATTTGGGGTGGTTCAGGACTCTCCGAGTGCTTACTGTATACAAGGTACCCTGTGAGCTGCTCCCTTTTATAAATGGAAACTAGAGTTCAAAAGATTCAGGCCACTTGCCCAGTTATCTGGCTACTACGTGGCAGAGCCCAGTTAAATCAAGGTCCATTCCCTGAGGTTAAGCAGCACTTCTGTGTCTGCCTCCTGCTCCCTCCCCATTTTTTTTTCTCTTTCCACATCTTTTGGGTCATCTACCCAACCTCTGAGAATCTATAAACTCTCTCCTCTTAGAAAAAATGCTTCTGTGCACACATGTCAAGCTCTGTACGTTTTAGTCAGAGCCCTGTGGCTATCCTAGGGGTAGGGGTGACCTAGCTCTGTCCCCAGGATATGGCTTGGTTCAATAAACAGCTTTTGGGGGGAAAACCTCCAAAACAAAATATATTTAAACTTTAAAAAAAAGTGCTTTAGTCACCTTGGGAATACTGTAGTCATTCTTCTTGATCCGGAGGTAGGTCTCTTTGAGGCAAGAGGTCTCAAAAGGTGGTTTGCCCACTAACAATGTATACCTGTAAGCACAAGGGGGCGGATTTGGCTCAAGGCTGCCAACCAAAACCTACCTGCCGGAGGAATCATCTCAGGGTGGGCATCTGGAAATTCTGACTTTGGGGTCCTTGAGGATAGTCATCAAGTCCACAGGAGCCAGGGCATGGGTGGGGCTGAGCCCTCAGAAGAAGACAGGTGACAGCACCAGGACTCTTAAGGCCAGTAGTGACTTTCCAGCTGGAGCCTGTAGGAATCCAGGGCCCCAGAGGCTGCAGGCCAGTATAAAACAGGTCCCAGTGTGCAGGCTACCTGCCCTTATAGAGGCAGCCCCACTTTGATGACTCTGCACTCAAGGCATGAAGTTTTCATTTGAAAAACTCTACTGCAAAGAAGTCTAGAAGCCACTGCTACAACTCACTTTTAGTTCTCCAGTACCTTGGCCAACAACAACCAAAAAAGAGAACACCCAAAAAGGCCCAACCCTCTGCCCACCACCCACCTGCTTTAGGAGGTCTTGATCAAGACTTTACTGTGCATGGAAATCACCTAGGGATTTTGTTAAAATCCAGATTCTGAGCCAGTCAGTAGCCTGCGTCCTGAGATTCTGCATTTCTAACAAGTTTCTGGGCAATTCTGCTGCTCTGTGGACCACACTTTGAGCAGCAAGGGCTTAGAGCAGGTTTGTGGAGGTCCCCCCAGCCCCACAGCCCAGGCCGCTGCAAGAATCCCACAGGATACACCAGTGAGAAGAAAAGGTATGGAAATCAGGCTTTGTTTTTGGGCAATCTGTTCTCTGGAGCAGCCTCTCCATAGGCAGAAAGGTCCGAAGGATAAAGTCAGCCAGGTAAGATGTCCAAAAGGGCCAGGTGGGTCTGAAGACAACTCCCAACTTACATGATACACCCAATGGACCACACGTCCACCTCGAAACTGTGCCCTTTCTTGCTCAGCACCTCAGGAGCTATGTAATTGGGAGTCCCGCACAAGGTCTTCTTGCGTTCCCCGTCATATTCCACTTTGGTTGCCAGTCCAAAATCCCCTGGGACAGAGGGAGGAAGAGGGGGTATTCAGTTGCTAGCCTGTCCTCTGCCAATGCAGAAAGCTGGTACAGGTGTGACTGTCAAGAACCAGGGTCATTTGATCCCTCTGGCTCCTACTCCTCATAGGCAGCAAGGCTTGTCCCGGATTCTTCCCAGGGCAGTGCCCCTCCTTGGCCCTCCCCTTAGAAAGGAGGGCCACATTTCTAAAAGGGAACAGATGGAAATGGCACAACTCAAATGCCCTCAAGGAATCAAGCAAGTAAAGGTCAGCACTGCTATTTGGCAAGTTTGTGAGTTAAGAGCAGGGAGAGTTGGGGGCTGTGGCAAATCTGAGGGAGCCTAAGGTGAACAGCAGCTTTTTAGCCCAGCAAAGAGCTGCGTGAGGGCATACTGTCTTAGAACCGCAGGGGCTTCCAATTGTTTAAAGAGAGTTCCAAATCTTAATTTTTATAACAAGCATCCCAATTTATGTCAATGGAAACGAATTCAAATTCTTTTAAAAAGTACTGTGTAGGAGCACTAAAAAATGCATCTGCAGGATACAGGCTTGGGCTCGGTTTTAAATTTTCTGTGCTAAAGAGAGGATTCTAGAGGCCATCAACAGCCCAGACTTCTACCATCCTCTTTCTCCCTCCTTTGTCTCCTTCCTATTTCCTCTCCCAGCCTCCTCATTTCGGCTTCTGGGGGTGTCAAGCACCCCTGCAGGCCCAGCACTCACCTATTTTCACCTCCAGATCCTCATTCAGGAAAAGGTTGCCCAGCTTAAGGTCCCGGTGAATAACCCGGTTTCGGTGCAGGTACTGGCAGCCAAGGACAATCTGCCGAAGGTAGTAGCGGGCTTCCGGCTCGGTCAGTGCTTTCCTCCGTTTGTGCAGCTCCAGGAGAGACTGAGTGGGGGAAGGAGAGGAGTAATGGGGAGTACCAAGGCACAGAGGGAAGGGCTTGTCATTTAAAGCAGCCCAGGACACCCCCCCCACCCTCCAGGAGAGCTAGGAGCTGTTCTCTCCCTAAGACTGGCCCCTACCGCTCATAGAACCCCTTCTCCCACTAGCTGCCTCCCAACCCTCCTACCTGGAGCACCTCTTTCAGCCGCGCTCCCCTCCCGGAAGCTCGGAGTCCACAGTATCCCTCCCTAGGCCTTTGCGCGGCAGGAGATCCCTCTCCAGCCGCCTCTCTTTCCGGAAGCTCCGGAGCCAGCTCCAACCACCCTCTCCCCGACCCAACCCTACCCCGGAAGCTCCCGACTCGCAGCACCCCTTCCCCGGGACTCCTCCCTTAGCAACTCCGGAAGCCCCTACGTCCAGTACCAGGATTCTCCTCCTACTCGCGCCTGCCCCGCTCCGCTCAACACCTAGGGTCCAGGAGCCTCCTTCTCCACCAGCAACAGTTCTCAGCACCACTTAACCGGAGCCCCCTCCCCTAGCGTCTCCAAGTGCCAAGCACCCTCTCCCCTCTCCTCAAGACCTTTACAACCCCTAGCTCGAGGTTCCCAGCACCTCTTCTCTAGCAGCTCCAAGCTCCCGGAGCCCCCAGCCCTGGTCCCGAGGCAGCGACACTCACCCTCCGGCGGCAGAGCTCCAACACCACGAATACGAAGTCATTGTCCTCGAAAAAGCCGTGGAAGCCTACGATGTGCTGGTGGGCGAGGCTGCGGTGAATGGAAATCTCCATGGACATCTTCTCCTTCTGGTGCGGCTTGAGCAGCAGAGACTTAGGCACGATCTTGCCCGCGAACACCTCCTTAGTGTCAGCGTCCGAGATTTCGAAGCACTTAGCAAAGCCTCCCTTCCCCAGAAAGCGTCCCCGCAGGTAGCGCCGCCGGCTGCGCGGGTCCACTAGGACCTCCGGGATCTCTTTCGCCGGCGGAGCAGCCGCCGGGGCCCCGGGAGCTGCACCTCCGGGACCCCCGGCTTTCCCTGGGTCCGCTGGTGCCCGCGCCAGCTTCCCTGCAGTTGCCGCCGCACTCATGTTCCCGGAGCTGCTCCACGGACCTAGCAGGGTCTGGGTAGAGGCTTGGCACCGCTTCGCTCCTCCTCGAATTCAAACGCGGCGCCGGGAACGTTACAAGAGCCTGCGCGCCACTGATTGGCCGCGGGGATTTAAAATCCAAACCCGCCCGCCGCGCGGCACGATGGGAGCGCTCTACACCGCTGCCTCCTTTAAACCCGTACGCAGCCCGGGTGGCTTGGGGAGAGAAGCTTGATTGACAGGGACTCGTGCACAGCCGACACGTGGGAAACCTGGGAAACCGTACCCAGCGAGCGGATGCCGAGACCGGCCGGAGGAGACCAGGGAGTTCAGGATTTCTTCCTTTCTCCGCGGCCGGGAAAGGTCCTGCAGTTCCCATGTACCTCCTCCAGGAAGCTTTCCCCAATTCCTTCCTCCACTCCCACCCCCACCCCGCCTTCTAGACTATAAACTCTTGAGAACAGAGATCTGTCAGGGCAGCCTTAGGCAGCCGCCTCCGAGACAGCTGAGCTGTCCTCAGCAATGTTCCGAGACACCCCAATAAGCTAAAATCCAAGTAAAAACACGGAGCTTGCCAGGCTGATGCACTTTCGTGGCTCGGTCCCTACCTCCGGGGTAACAGCTGCTCCTAAGTCCCTCCAGAATATAGAGCAACTCCACTCAAGCATATATGGTTCAGGGACCACCAGCATTACCATCACCTGGGAACTTGTTAGAAAGAAAATTTCAGACCTTACCGCAGACCTCCTGACTCGGGAGTCTGCCTTTCAATGTAACTGCCAGGTGATTCCCACACATTCTGATGTTCCAGACGCACAGTACCAGGGCCCCCCACATGCAAGAAAGTTGTCTGGCTTGCTCACTGCTCTATTTCCCAGGGCATAAAATAGTGGACCCTCAAGTCTCTGGTGAGAGGAAGGACGGCTGGTTGGCAGAATGCCCAGCAAACTGGCAGGCCGAGGCCATACAGCTCGCAGGGGTGTGTTTTGTTTGGCCTCCCACTTTTGAAAAATTGGATTCATTTACAGCACTTAAAAATCAAGAGAGCTCACATAAAAATTCAGATTGGTGTTTTTTCCTAACAAAAACTAGAAGGTCCCGCCACTCTATGTCTACCTATTTTCCCAGTTTGTGATAGTGCCCAGCTATTTCCCTCTCTGCCCATTTCCCTGACTTCCCAAAGTACTGGAGTGGCAGACCTGGAACAGCAAAAAGCCCAAGTTCGAAGCCCTTTTTCTGTGCACCCTTGTACCCTATGATGTCTCGGGTAGAGCCCACCAAGTATCAACCATAGTCTAAGTATCTCTTTACCTGCCTCCCAGTAAACTGAGAGGTGATGATGACATCTTTCCTAGCCCATGTCCCAAGCTCCCAGAGCAATGCCTAGTAAAAAGGAGTAACTGAAATGTTTGCTGAATAAAAGGAAGTTTTTTTAAAAAAAGTTATTATTTTTTTATCCTTGTGGTGGGTAATCTTTTTATTGAAGTTTAAGATACGTAGAGAAAAAGTTCACATAACTGTACAGCTCAATGAATTTTCACAACTTGAACCCACCCCACGTAAACAACACCCAAAATGAGGAAGAGAACACTACCAACACCCAGAAGCCCCCTGTGTGCCCTGTTTTGGGAGCCCCCAAAACCAGCCCACAGTTTGATGACTACTCACAGGACTCAGCATAGAGTCTTACTGTCATCAGGCTATAATTTATTATAGCGAAAGGCTACCAGGCAAAATCAGCAAAGGGAAAAGGTACAGAGAACAAAGTGCCGAGGAAACCGGGCGCAAACTTCCCAGAGCCCTCTCCCAGTGGAGTCACACAGGACACACTTAATTCCTCCAGCAGTGAGTTACGATAACAAGTGTGAAATGTTATTTGCCAGGGAAGCTCCTTAGAGACTCAGTACCAGGGCTTTTACTGGGGGCTGGTCAAGTAGGCACCCTCTGTCTAGCACATAACAAAATTCTGGATTCCTGGAAGGAAAGCAGGTATTCAGCATAAACCATATTGTTTTACACAGTTCAGGCAGGGAGCCACTCATATCATTCAGGGAGTGTTGAGAACCCTCTCCACATCCAATTATCCAGGTGTCAGCAAAGGGTCAGCCTTGCAGACAAGGAGAGCAGTGTCAGGCCTACTCTATTAACTCTCTTCTGTACTGGCCTCCACCTAGGCTGTTGGCCCAGGCTTCGATACAGCAAATTTATTATCAGTAGGACCCCATGCAAAAGGATGAGACCATCCTGCCGTATACTGATCTCAGTTATGCTCCTTAGGGGTCCCGTGTTTAAGCCAGTTAAAATAAATCCCATTAACAATACAAGTCTATTTTAGATATGGTATAAGTGAACTATACCTCAAATTTAAAAACAAAAAACAAAAAACAAACAAAAAAACACAGTCTATCTTAGAATGCCAAGTGGCTTCCTCCAAACTTCTGTATGATTCATTTCTACCTGGCCCGAGGTACCAATTCAAGTCCAGCACAGCCAGTACGTTCAAGCTGATCTGAAGCCTTCCAGGACTGAGGCAGTGTGGCAAGAGGGCACAAAGACAGAAGTACAATCCCAGAGGGCAGAAGGTCCCCCGGGAAACGAGTTTGCAATGTTAGGGAACCTCAAGCAGGACATATGTTAGGCAGTGGAGGTTAACAGGGCCCCCATGTAAGCCTCCTGCCATGTGGCCTCCTGCCGGGGAGTTTCCAGTCCAATCTGAAAGATCCAACCAGCCCTTGGTTCTGCTTGTCCATGATACAAGTTTATGCATCTCATGAGTGTCCGTTGCGTGTGGAAAGTGCAGGAGCCAAGGCCCTTCAGTCAGCGGTGCCAGCTGTGAGCACAGGCTTGGCGGTCTGAACTTAAAGCACTCCAGTGCCTGGAAGGGCAGCTCTGGAGTCTGATGTCAGGAAGAGCAGAAAGCTTCCAGATAGAGTTCTGAAGAACCAAGATTGTAAATGCCACCCCCCGACTTGCCCAAGGCTCCCCAGGTGTCAGGATTTTTCTCCACTGTTACAAAATCTGCAGCCCCGACTTTCAGCAACCCAATAACATTCTGTCAATTACCTCTTCTCCTCCTCCAGGCCTTTTATCTGCAAGGGTATGTATGCAGAAGGCACAAATACATTTTTGCAGATAAACATTTTTATCTCACTTAGCCAGAAAGACAAATTCAGGAATTGGTCGGGATGTGGGCTGAACTGTATCCCTAACCACCCCCTTACCACCAATTCCTATGCTAAAGCCCTCACCCACAGTACCTCAGAATGTGACTGTATTGGGAGACAGGGCTTTCAAAGAGGTGATTCAATTAAAATGGGGTCACTAGGGTGGGCCCTCATCTGACCTGACTGACGTCCTTGTAAGAAGAGAAGATTAGGAGACAACACCGAGGGGCGACTATGGCAGGACACACGAGAAGGTGGCCACCTGCAAGCCAAGGAGAGAAGACTCAAGAGAAATCTAACCTGCCGACACACTGGTCTTGGACTTCTGGCCTCCAGAACCGAGAACACACATTTCTATTATTTAAGCCCCCCAGTCTATGGCATTTTGTGATGGCAGCCCTAGCTGACTAACGAGGATGAAAGCCTGAATTTTCAAAAAATTTCAAAATGGGTTCACAGAACCTCCCACTCCTTTTATCCAGTGAACAGCCTTGATCAATCCCTCTCTGGAGACAGCTCTATTCAGATAATGAACCTACCTTACCAAGTATGGATGGGGCGGCGAGGCAGCGGCGGGGTGTAGTATGGAAGTAAAATCAGGCTATCAGCCCACTGTGGTGAGTTGCAACTAATCTAGAAAGCCGAACACAAGTTAGCAGCAATGAGACATCCCTGTCAAGAAGGCCCAGAGTCTGAGCTGTCAACAGCAAGTGGAGGGGTCACACTCCCTGTGATGAGCCATCCCCCAACGTACAGCTGTTGGCAGGGATCACAAATTAGGATGCGGGTAGCCTCCCCACTAGTGAAGAAGAGCTGACCAGCAGCTTGATCTTTGATGGTCCCGTCAGAGAACATGCCCTCTTCTGTGGGGATGTGAGTGTGGCCTGATGGTCCAGCCAGCATCCACGATGGAGGTTTTCATCCTTTAAAGTTCCACAGAAGGGGTCCTAAATCCCAGTGGTCGCAGGGTCCGAGTCCAATTCACAGAGCCTGGGTCTGCTTCCAGGGCAGCACAGCTCCTGCTGGGACTGAAACAGCTACCGGCAACCTATAACAGTTTTCAGCTTTGTCACGTCCAGACAAAAAGAATCAGGGAATCTGGGATTCCAAGACAGCCAACTGCTTCTCTTTGGCTTGTTGAAGAAAGACATACTGCAATGCCCAACAGCCATGGTCCAGGTCCAAGCGATAAGCAAAGCTTCTGTGTTCTGCTCTCAGTCTTGGAGTCCGGACTGACTCGCACCAAACCACGTGCGTCAGACTGGCTAGTTATCAGCCTCCACACGTCAGACACTGGATTTCCACTAGGGCTCACTGGCAGTTTAACTGCTTTCCCCAATTCCGAATGTGCACTGCCATCCAGAAATTGCTTCTCTTTGATGTCTTCCCTTCCAGAGGTTCCAACAGACAAAAATCACAGCAAAAATCATCGGTCCTGAAGACTTGTTCTGGTTCCAATACTCAAAGGATTTAAACTCCAACACACAACTCGTAGCAAAGAGGAGAAAGCCGTATCCCACCAACAACTTCTTGATTTAATTTTCTTTGCATATCTCTTTGATTGGGATGATCCCTCTAGCATTTATGAAATTGTAACTACATAACATTTTAAATCAGTTTTATCATATTTCCAGATACAGAAACCACAAAATACAAAGTCATTTTTTAAAACTTCCCTTTTTTTTCTCATTGCAAATTTACTCTAACCCCTAGCAAATTCAGCATTGACAGAACTATAACCACAGGCCTGAAGTGCTCTTTTTTGCAGAGGTAGAAATAACGCCTCATACGATAAGACTTTGAAGCAATGGGATAAAAGGCCACTTAACACCAACTGCATGTATATTTTATTTATTCCATTTAGGAACATTTTTAAAGAAATGATAAAGCATTGAAGAAACTTTAATTCCCTTCCGATCTTTAACAACTGTTTTCATATACCTTTCTAGTTGCTGTCAACATGGACTTTTGACTAGTACACCTGCAATTATGCCACATTAATACCCTCTATTTGCAGAGTATCTGTGAACCCTTACTGAGCCCTTACTAGATGCTAGGCATGGGGCTAAAAGCTTTACAGAGATGATCTCCCTCAATCCCCACAACGGCCTTATTCCCATTTTGAAGATGAGCATATAAGCCCTTCTGGATTAGGCTACTGCCCTAGGTCTCATAGGCAGGAGGTGGCAGAGCTGGAATTGCAACCCAACTCTGCCGACTCCAACATACCCCTCATGCTGCCTGTGGGGGCCTTGTCTGTCTAGCTAGCCACTAATCGCAGACTCATTTGTTCACTCCCTCCCTCCCTACCAAAAAGCAGTATGATGTATACCTTAAACTCATGGACCAGAGAACCCTGGATTCAAACACCAGTTCCTCCCCTTACTAGCTGTGTGACCTTGGGCAAATTATTTAACCTCTCTGTGCCTCTACTTCCACATCTATAAAATGGAGAGAATCATGTCTTTTAGGATTCTATGTGGGACATGCCTCTCTCTGAAGGTTCTTGTGAAATGCTTCTGTGAGGACAGCACTTCAAACACACCAGGCACATGGCCATGCCTGCTGTTGTTGTGATTACTGAAATAAAGAGAAACTGTGGCTATTCCCCAGAAGCTAAGGGTCTCCAAGAGGCCTTGCAGTTCCTGAGTCTCAGACTTCCTTATTTTCCCCTTCCTCTGGCACTACTGCTTCATCAGGCTCTCGCTGTTCCTATGCAAAGCCAGAAAGCATGCCCCAAAGACACTAAATGTTAGCTGAATACAGTTGAAGAGGTGTGTTGGTAGGACCAAAAAAGACCAGGGGTGGATGTCCAGACCCAAGGTCTGAAAGCCAGAGAGGGTGTGGACTCCATTCCTGTCTCTTCTCTTGGATGATTTTCATATGTATGAACCATCTGTGTGATGGCCAACAGACTTGGAGATACAGAACACGCCATCTGCTCTCCTTGGAGAAGCAGGGAAGTCCTGTGCTAACTCTTCTCACTTCAGAGTCTGGGTCAGAGTGCATTATGAAAAGTAGGTGTGGCCAACCTACCAGCAAAAACTTAAGGACTTAAAAACAAAGGATTAACTGACTGGGCAGCAAGGATCCTCCTCTGAGCCAAGTGCTTTTGGAGGCCCAGGATTTTGGGGGAACTGCATAAAACATGGACTTTGCAGCCAGATAAGACTTGGCTTTGATTCTAGCTCAGTCATTAATGAGCTGTGTGATACTGGGCAAATTTGCTTAACCTCGGGCGCCTGGGTGG